ATAAAAGGCGCTAGGGATTTAATTCAGTGGTAGAATGCCCCTAAGTGCCATCCTTACTACCCCCCCCCCCAACAAAGACTACATAGAAAGCATATATATTTTTACATATAAATATTATACAATACATTATATAATAGTATATATTTATATATATTTAACATTGTGAAACAGAACTACTTGGTGGAAGAAAATCTTACAGAAAATGTATGATATCTTTTCAAACACTACATGCCACATATCCTGGCTCTAATGAGTCAACTCCATCTTTGACCTCCCTTTGATAAAGCCAGCTTCTTCTATCCTTTTAAAAAAAAAAAAAACAACAACAACATAGGTTTTATTTTCAATACAAATATTTCACAAAATAAAGAAATTCTGAGAGTCTACTATGTGCCAAGAATTGTACAAAGCAAAATGTTATTTCTTTTAATCACATATTCATTCCATACTTGGATTTTATCTCCCATTTTACAGTAGCTGAAGCTCAGAGAAATTTAGTAATTTGTTTTAAGTTACCTTTTGGCCATTAAAAAATAAAGTCAAGATCTGCACCCAGGTTGGACTTCACAGCCCATGCATAATATTTCAAGTACTTTATAAATTAATATAAAATGCTAAATTGAAAAAATAGTAACAACTGATGTTTGTGAAGCTTAAAAGACCTTTAGAAAAACTAATAAGCTTCTCGCTAACTAATTCAAGTAGGCAAATCTTGAAGATAAAATGTATCCCTCTTTTTAAGAAAACTAGAATGCTAAAACAGAGATTTAACAGATTACAGAGATTTAACAGAAGGCATTAACAGTAAGCCTCAAATTTTAAAAAGCTGCTTTATATCATATTCATGCAAGTTCTACACAAAATAAAATGCAGTGTATATGCAATTTTCCTATCCCCATGGCATGTAATAAAATAATACCAGATGGGAACAGAAGACTTGGGTTCTAGTCTTAATTGATAATTTGTGTTATGGGTTGGGTTGAACTATGTCCCTTCAAATTCATGTTCTAGTCCCAATATCTAGTACTGCAGAATGTGACTTTATTTGGAAATAGAATCACGCAGATATAATTTGGATGAGGTCACACTGGAATAGGTTAGGCCCTTAATCTGACTTTTGTCCTTTACAAGGAGGGGATATCTGGATACAGATACACACATAGGGAGAATGACCCTGAGAATGTGAGCACAAAAACAGCAGAGAATGGAGTGATACATATGCAAGCCAAGGAATCCTAAAGATTGCCAGAAAACCACCAGAAACAGGAATGAAACAGGTTCTCCCTCCCAGCCAACAAATGCTCACACTGTGATCAGGACTTTTGGCATCCAGAAGTGTGAAGCAATAAGTTTCTGTTGTTTAAGCCCACCTAGCATGTTATGGTGGTCCTAGAAAACAAATTCATTTTGTAATTGTAATTTTCCAATAAGTTATTTCAACATTCTATATTTCACATTTCAATAGGTATCCTTTTTTTATTCTAAGACCGCTTTCCAAATACTTTAAATATTTTCTACATTCATGGTATTTGAGTTCTATTATTTGAATTAAAATCATGTTATCAAAAGAAGGAAGACATTATTTCCAAATGGGAGAGTTGATATTACTAGTCTCTTAAGGCATAAATCTTACTAGAGTTAAGATTCTAATTTCCTTAAATATTCACTGGCAAGGAACCAGGCACTAGCAGTCCCAGGTATATGAGAAGCTGAGGTGGGAGCACCATTTAAGACCAGCAGTTCAAGACCAACCTGGGCAACATAGTGAGATCCCATGTCAAAAATAAATAAATAAAATAAAACCAAAATTTATTGGCAAATATTCCTCAAATGAGAATTAATTTTTTATCTAGTAGTTTTACTTTTGCATATATCTTCCTCTTTCTTTAGTTATCACTAAGGCAGTTCAATATAGCAAAATTACACCCTTGATAGAAGGCCTATTTCTCGAATTTTTCATTCATCTAGAGTTCCTTGTATAATGACTACTTATGGTACTAATCTTTGGTGATATCTATTTTGCTGATCATTTCTATAGCATCATTTCTGAAAATTCTATATTAAAAAAAGTTTATATCTAATTATTCTTTGTGTGGCACTTCTAAAATTTGTTTATTTTATATAGTTCTCTTCAATTCTGAACATTCCTTTCCCTTGCTTTTACATCTCCACTGATCTCATAATTTTGTCAGGATCTTTCAACTTCCTCTTGCAATCACTATTTAAGAGTTATCTGGCTTGATGGGGGAGGTTATTTGGCTTTAATGTTTTATTTTAATCTATTTTTACTCCGTCTCAGGTTTCCTTCTGAAAATAATAAAACGTGAAATGTCACATTTCCCTATAACTCAAACTATAATAAGAATAATGTAAATTCCACTCATTTGATAATTTTAAAAGGTCTACAAGATTATTAGTTATATAAAGTCAGATGTCTAAAATAAGAACTGGTACTACAGAACTTGGGTAAGCCAATACTAAAGACACTACTGTTTCTATTACACCAAAACTCTACAGTTACTCCAAAAGACATCTAATTTCAGTAAATGCAAATAAATAAATTCTTATATCTTCACAAATAGATAATTAGTAGTTTAAGGAAGTACCTGATGAAATATTAGCAATGTAATTTTAAAGGAAGAAGGCATATGAAAACTAAATAAACAGAAGAAATTAAGAAAAACCTACAATACACATTTTATGTGATGAAAGTGACATTTCAAATGGGGGATTGTGAATTATTCAATTAATGGTATTAAGATACAGAGTTAGTCATTTGAAAAAGAAAAGCTACAACTTACACATTCCTCAAACTAAAATAACTTCAATAGAAATTAAAATTCATATGTAAACTCTAGATGAAAGTGTAGCTACATTTATACAGAGATATAATCTTTGAGGAGGAAAAACCTATGTGAACATAACCAGATATAGGAAAAGGTTAATAAAAATTTTTAGGAGGCCTTAAAAAAAACACTAAACAAACTATAAAACAAGCAAAGGAGAATCAGATAAATGACAACACAGGAAAAAAAAATCCGCAATAAATATGACAAATATCATATAAAGGGCTTCTACAAATTAATAAAGAAAAAAAAACAAACAGAAAAAAAGAGGAACAAGCAACTGGAAGTAGAAAAAATATAAGCAGGCTATAAACATATGTGAAGTTTTTCAAGTTCATTAGTAAAATATGCAATTTAAAATAATAAGACACCATTTTGAACTAACAGTTTGACAAAGTCAACTTTTTTAATACTTGAGGGAATGGGGAAACACATGTACTCATACACTATTGGTAGGAGCCAAAAGTGCTACACTTTTGACAGAACACTTGACAATAACTAAAATTTTGAAGTGTTTATGTTTGATTCAATCATGTTTATAGTAAAAAAAAAAAGAGAAAGAGAGAGAGCATCTCAAAGTCAATGTCAAATAGGGAAGAGGCAAATAAGTAAGATAAAAGGCATCCACAAAATTCAACAGAATGTAGTAGTTACATCTAAGTGTATTGGAAGAAAACAAGGGCAGAAAAAAAAAAATGAAGGCTATAAACAAATAAATGTCGTTGGGCTGGGATTGTGGCTCAGCGATAAAGTGCTCGCCTAGCACATGCGGGGCGCCCTGGGTTCGATCCTCAGCACCACATAAAAATAAAATGAAGACATTGTGTCCAACTACAACTTAAAAAAAAAAAACAACAAATAAATTTTCAGGAAGAATGACAAGAAATTCACCTTCGGTTGTTTCTTGAGTACAAAAACAACAAAGTACTAAGGATAAGTGTTTACTTTTTATCATATAAGTGTTTACTTTTTAACTTTTATCATATAACAGTCAAAATAAATACTGGTCCTTTGTGTTCAAAATATTTCTTTAAAATTGTCTCTAGAATGAGTAGAAGTAGTTTCCTTATTAACAATTTCAAACAATACCTATTTATCCAACTTGACTGACATTCACCCAAACTTTTGTTTTAAAATTGAACATATAATTGGAGCAGAATGTAATAAAAAGAGAAAAATACAGTAAGATTTTTCTTAAATACATAATAATATATAAATCAGATTTAGACAGTAACAAATATAGAGTATACCTTTTTCTTTTATGAGCAACAGAAATTCTATCAAAAGAAAATGTGACTTTGAATGGGTCAATAAAACCAGTATTTTTATTTTAGCATACTCATTTTTAGATTTTAACTATAACAGCTCCCTTAACTCATCTCCATTTAACTGTCCTGTCTTAGTCAACACTGTTGTTTTTGCTCTTTATTAAATATGTCCATGGCATGCTGACCACCTAAACTAATAAGATATATCTATTATAATAAGGCACTTCTGATGCCAGTAGGTGAATTATATGGTTAAAAAGTCAATTATTCATTCCTGAATCTGTTTTTGCCAGTAAACTTGGTATAGTCCTTATGAGACATGAATTAAGAGTACAAAAAGAAAGGGCTGTTTCTATGTAAACTAAGTTGAAAAAGTTGTTAAATTAAAGGTGACATAACCGCAAATAAGGAAAATCATAAAAATCCCCAAAGAGCTTATACTTAGGGTCTTTAAAAAGTATCTTTAAACTTTTTTTCCATTTTAGAGAGATCAAACATGAAAACTGCAGATAATGCATATGGATATAGTAAACACAGGAACAACTTCTCTCAACTCCACAACAAGATGGCAAATGACTATATATTTTAAGTTAAAAATTTTAAATAATATTGCATATGTTTTTATGATTTCCCTGATTTCATTTTTTAAATAACCTACCAAGTAACTGTCCCTGTCTCATCAGTTGGTAAAAACTACATGTCTATATAAAATAACAGTATGTAGTAATAAACATTCAAAAATAACTGTATGGGAAAAAGTATTAGAATGAAATATGCTCCACAAGGGCAAGGATCTTTATTTTCTTAAAGAGATGTAGACCAAGTACCTAGATTAGCTACTGGTATACAGAAGACACTTAACGAATACCTAAAGAACAGAACTTACCGTGATCACAGCCTTGCTAAGACAGATGGATCCCCTGCATCCATATTCAGTTTCATCCTCAGATTTGTAGTAACTCAAAGTATTGTTTTTCAAAACTACCCAACGATCCTGCCACCCATGAATGTAGTTTGTCCACTGGGGTGGTTGGGGAAAGAAAGGAGATAGGGAAGAAAAAAGTCAGTATTTTAGAAATCCAAACTTTTTGAAAAAGCAATCTAATTTTAAAATCAAAATGTGAAAAGTCTTAACTCAACAAGCATGATTTTGAAAAGTAGAGATTTCATAGACCGTCTAATGATTTTCAGTAGTCTTTATAATATTTTAAATAAATAAATAAATAAATAAATAAGAAATACAATATAGCATTTTTAATAACCTCTAAACTTTGAAGAAAATCAAAGCAGGAATTTGGCTAAGAATTCTGCTTCGTAGTCCCTGGCTCCTGCCACCTGTGTGACATTTAAATTGTTCTGTCATAATTAGTATACTCAATAAAAAATAAGTTCAGTTAGTCTCTCTCCTTCATCAAGTATTGCATAGTCTTCTAAATCAACAGTAGTATGGTGCCAATCATTGCCAAAATTCTATTTTTGTTGTAAATTATTTTCATATGAAAATTTATGATGGTCCTAACTACATCAAAACTAAATACTAAATCATTAATCTTTAGTAAGTATACATCAACTTTAATTTTTCCCCTACAGAACTCAATAGCACATGTTGAAATGATTAATTCACTTTTCAAGTTTCCTTGAGGACGTATTTTTTTAAACCCAGAAGTAAAAATACAAACATAAAATTGGATGTCACAAACATACTAGGATTATCATTCTCTAATACTGTACTTAAAAAGTGACTTCTGTGTTACTAAAGTCTTGATGTATAGTGAAGATTACAACCAATAAACTGGCAAAGGTAGAAATATAACCTCTATGAGAATATTAATTTCACATTTTTATTTATTCTCCAAGGATTTAAGTATAAACAATCCCCAAACTAACTGCTAATTCCAAAAACTACTTCAAAATGGATTGTTAAAATGTAATAAACTGGCTCAAGCTTTTTAACCATTGAAAAACCTTTGTTTTCCTATTTCCTAATTCAGAATGTTGAGATTGGCTCAACTCTTAAATCTTCTAAGCTCCATTATTCTAACCTCTCACTGAGAACTCACCCAAACTCTTTTTCTATGGGCTCCCTAATTGCTATTTTCTTATTTCTGCTTGTGACTTACTACCACTAGGTACCAACTTGATTAAGCAAAACTGAACTTACCTCCTCCCTATAAAGTGTATTTCCTTCTTATGTTCCTACTATCTTGACTGCTTTTGCTACTTCTACAGTTATACAGACTCAAAGCTGGATCAAGATTAGTATATAACATGAACAGAGTGGTGGATATAGGATTAAACAGACCCACCTACTTTACTACATGTGTAAATAGAGTTCTAACACATCACTTGACTTTTGTAAGCTTGTTTCTTTGCCTGATTATCGCTGAATAACATAATGAAAATGCCTAGCATAGTCAAAGAAGATACTCAACAGGACTATTCTGTCTCACTCCTTACAGAGCTCACCAACAAATCCTATCAATCTTTCCTTCATATTAAACCTTTAAATTTTCCTCCTCTTTCCAATTTTCCTATCAAATTACCAAGTTCCTGGATTCCTGAGAAAGGCTTAATAATCTGACCTCTTCTATTATCTTCTGCTTTTCATAACTTTCCATAATCTTATTTACTTATTAAGCATATTTACTTTTCTCATATAGTCATCTTATTAAGAATACAGCTCCAAAACTCACATGAACAACTTCCATTGCATAATATACAGACAAATTAGATCTTGTTTCCCATTACTACCCATCATGAGGCTAGTTACTATGTGACTGTGGTCAAGTTATGTACTTATCCTCTCATGTGTTGGTTTCTCTGTCAGTTCTATCTCAGAGTAAAGATTAAGCAAGAATAGACTAAGAACAGTGCCAGGCATGTACTATTTTCTCAGTTTGAGGCAGAGTTATGCATAGCTAATGAAGCTTAACCTTCAATGTCTCTCACAGGTCAGATCCTATCCAAAGTGACAGATGAGGCCCCAGCAATTGTGTCTCTATAATTTTGTATTATTTTTCTTATAGAGGAACCAACAGATTATATAAGGTTTAGGACTATTTAGTTAGCAGATGTTAGCTGCTTTTATTACACCTGGAAGGCAGGTTTCTGCTTTGTTCTCATAATGTTTATTTCCTCCCTTTCCCTTTTTAAACAGACAAGATAATATGCTAGACCTGCAGAATAATCAGGAATCCTGTCACCAACAGTCTAGCAAGCATAAATTCAGAAGAAAATATATTTAGTGTAAGAAATCAGTAGCCAGGTATGAGGTACACACCTGTAAATCCAGCAACTGAAATAGAAAGATTCCAGGCTGAATCAGGAGGATCACAAATTCAGTAAATTCAGGAAAACCTAGGCAGTTTGGCAAGACCCTATCTCAAATTAAAAAGTAAAAAGGGCCGCAGATGTGACAGAGTGTTCTTGGGTTCAATCACTAGTACAAGGTGAGTTGGGTGGGGGTGTCAAAATCAAGTTTCAGTCAAAATGCTATGGGAGCTGGCCCAGGTGGTGCATGCCTATAATCTCAGTGACTTGGGAAGGTGAAGCAGGAGGATGGAAAGTTGGAGGCCAGTCTCAGCAACTTAACAAGACCATGTTCTCAAAATAAAAAATAAAAAAGACCTGAAATGTAGCTCAGTGGTAAAGTACCCCTAGGTTCCATCCCACCTCCCCTTCCCAAATTGCTAGGGGATTTGAAGGAAAGGGGATCTTAAATAAATAATTGGTGAAGTAAGAAAAAGCTTTATGGAAAGGACAATATTTGAGATGGACTCAAAAGAACTGCAGCCAAGAGGTATGTGGAGAAGTAAGAAAAAACATAAAGGATGAAGGAAACTCAGAACAGTTTGATAATAACTTATTTTATCCAGGCTTAGTTGCTTTTAAGACCTACAAAGGCAAAAGTCTTTTCCCAACCATGATCCACCCTGATATTTGTAATTACCACACAGAATTATTGTGTATCCATTATTTCGGGAACTTAACTCTCTTGAGAAGTGATTCTAAAAGAATGTATGCTTTGTAGATATTTCATGTATTTCAGATTATCATATAGAAGAAAAAAACTGGACTGGCAGATTTTTAATATAAATTATACACACACATCCATTCCAGATCCACTCCATAACAGGGGAGAAAAAAAAAACAAACTAGTTTTTAAAAACTAGTTAAAAAACCTATTTATAGTCTCAATTCAAAGAATAGATACTAAGATCTAACTCTTGTTTAAATTATCAGATAAGCACAAAGGATTTGAAATATATAACATGTACTTTAAACTTAAAAACATGTAACATTCCTGGTATATGTATTTAACATAAAACAATCTTGATGGAGCTCAGTGGAGTGCTTGCCTAGTTAGCATGTGCAAAGCTCTAGAACTGCCAAACAAAACATCAAGAATTAAAAACTTAGAGAAAACAAGCCTGGCTGGTGGCTCAGGCCTGAAATCCCAGTGACTTAGGAGGCTGAGACAGTAGGATCACAAGTTCAAAGCCTGCTTTAGCAAAAGCAAGGTGCTAAGCAACTCAGTCAGACCCTGTCTCTAAATAAAATACAAAATAGGCCTGGGGATGTGGCTCAGTGGTTGAATGCCCCCCGAGTTCAATCCTGGTAACCAAAAAAAAAAAAACCCCAAAAAAGAAAAAACAAAAAACTTACAGAAAAATTTACATATAACCATAAATTGTTAAATTTCAGGGAAATTTCCTTCTTAGCTGTTAACAAGAATAATACCAATAACTTTATTCCTGTTGATTCTATATATGCAGCCACAAACTCGAAGTTATTTCCCTTCTGCAGTAGTCAAATAGTGTATTTCTACACACTTAAAACACCAAAGAGATAGTCTTCCATTTTTTGATCTACAGTATACTTACTACCTTATCGTGCATACAGTGAATACTTAGAGCACATGACTTTTTTCCATCAGCCACTCTGCTCCCCAAACTTTCCCCAAGTGATTATCAATAGGTCAGAAGTACAGCATGAAAAAAAAAAGTACAGTGTGTTTTATAAAGCACTTAATATCACAATACTAATGTGGCAGTTCACTTCTCATATAAGTGAAAAGTGATGAAACTGAGAATTGCTAAGAAGCAAAGAATTCATTTCATAACTACCTTCATATGACAATGTATACATATTGCACAGTGTGTTCAATACAGATGACTAAATTATAGGATTTTTTAATTTGAAGAAACCCTGGAGATCTTCACTTAATTGAAAACATCCCAATGAAATTCCAAGAGCAATCCCAGTATCAACTGACACGCCATAATTTTTCTGCTATACAAATAAAAGCTAACACTTGTAAGCAGTACATCTGACAAACTCATGCCTTTCCTAGGTCTTTATTATTAGCCTTCTAAAGACATTATAAAGGCCTAATATAAAACAAGTCCACAAATGATGTCCAAATGATTCGAATATAAATACTGGAAGCAGAGTGATTTCTTAATAGCCAAGGTTGCACATGACATGGTATCTTATGACCAGCTTGTTGAAGGACTGGCCCCAGCTCCCACTCTCCAAGTTAACTGCTAGCTCCAGCCTTTTCTAAAAGTTTAACAGAAAGGGAAGTCAAAAAGACTATGCAAGTACCCATAACAAAACTTAAAAAGAAAAAAGTACTATCAAAAGATCACCCACCTTCGGCCTTATAATAAGTGACTATTTCCCTTGCTAAAATCTTGAAAAGGAACTTTTCAAAATACATAAAAACTAAGATATCTTTTCCTTACCCTGGAAACATTACTGCAAAAATATTTTATTATTAAATAATTTTCTTCCTGGACTAAAAATCGGTCTCTGACAAGTTCCAAATAATATTTCTTATACTCATCACGTGCTAATTCAATAGCTCTTTTCTGAACTAGAGTAAGGGGTAAGGGGGAAAGTATAAAAGTGCTCCACAATCACATCTCTCCCTGCATTTAAGATTACTACCACCTAATAGTTTACCATCTTAGAAATCAGGACTATAAAAGGAGTCAATTGGGCTTGTCAAAAGCCATGTCAACGAGCCCCCAACCCTATTGGGCCGTGCACCCCCAGACTAATCTCCTTTGAAAGGTCCGATGTGAACCGCCCCCACGCCCACTAGTACGGACGCCACCGTTGCCCAACCCAGATTCCTAAACCCCGGACAGCTGCCTCCCCGGTCCCAAGTCACGGTGCACATCTCGCTTCCTAAACTAGATCCCAGCTTAATATATGCTTTCTCTGGTCCTCGGCAGCTACTGACAAGCCCCTGGACAGGCGAAGAAGACCTCTCTCCACATTCCACCCTTAGCCCAGGCACTCCTGCGGCACTACACAGCCCCGCACCCGGCACATTCCGCAGCCCCCGCCCCGGGACAGTCCATGGTGTCTCCTGCCCAGCCCCACCCCACACACTCAGAGGCTCGGCTCTCTTAGCCTCGCAGCAGGTGAGGTCTGGGCAGCTGGCCCTAGAACCCGAGAGTTGCTCACCTTGCTGAGAACCCCGCAGCGCTCCACAGGCGGCCCGGACTCCGTCTCCGGGTCCTCCTCCGATCCCGAAGAGTTCCAGCTCTGGTTATCCGACATGGAGGCGCGACAGCCAAGCAGGAGACCGGCCCCCGCTCCGTGAGCTGCGCCGGAGGAGGCGCCCAGTCCCGGGGTTGAAGGGTCGGGGGATGCCGAAGCGAAGAGTGCGGGTGGGGAAAGGAGATGGGACGAAGTCCACCAGCCTCCACGACGCCGTAGCCGCCGCGCCTGACACCGAGCGGACCGGGGAAGGAGGACGAGCGGCGAAGGAAGCCTGCCCTTCCAGCCGTCAGCCGCCGCCGCCACCGTTGCTGTGACCCCTGCGCTACGCCGGGCGCCGCTACCCGAACTAGTCCCTCTTGATGCCAACCTCAGTCAGGGAAGGAAAAGGGGAGGAAGAAGGGAAGAGAAAATCCAGCTGCAGAGACCCGGGTCCACTCACACCTCCGCTACCGCCGCCATCTTCCTGCCTGGCCCACTATTTACCCTCCCCTCCCCTCACCACTCCCCTCCCCTCCGTCCTCCCATTCTCCCCCTACAGCCCGCCCCGTACCCCTCCCGACGTCTGACGCCACACGCCAAGGGCTTGAGATTCCCCCACCGAAGCGTCCTACCTCCGGCCTTCGCGGGTGACTATGGGTAGAAAGGTAGGAGGGGCAGAGAGTGGAGAGGGCGGAATAGGGTCACCGCCGAGCTGCATTCTGGGAAGGGTGCTGCTTGTACTGTCGCGCAGCCTCCTGGGAGTTGTAGTCACGATCCTAGTCAAGTGGTGAGTGTCCTGCGCGGGGAAGGCTTGTCGCCTTGGGAACCGTCAAAAGGCAGATGCGCTTCGTTTGACAGTAGCGTGGCTGACCCCCTGACCTCGCTTCTCTGTCCCTACCTAACGTGTTTATGACGAACCCTGCTGTCTTGCGGGTCAGGAGGTGAGATAACTCTCCGGTAAGGATGTCGGGGTTACCTTCTATGGCGGCTTAGGGGCAAGCCCAGGAACCTACTGAGGCTTGCCTGGGCAGGAATGTACCGGACGCTTCCGCCTTCTAGCATGGGCTAGCAGGGCGGGATTTGTGACCTCTCTAGTGACAGGGATTCCTCTCCACATCCACTCAGCTCACTTCCCCGCCGCGTCTAAAGAAAACAACCATCACTATTAAAATCTCGATCTTCGATCTTGCCCTTTGTAAGTTAGACGTTTCCCGCCGTTAGAAGAATTTCTTCATTCCCTCTCACAAATAATTGTGAGGTTTCTTTGCACGGTTAGATTTCTAGAATTTTATTTTGTAGGAAGTAATTTTGAGATTGTCAGAGAATAAATGACATTGGAAGAATTTTAAGTAAAATTAAAACTTCAAGCAATAGTCTGGAGTTTGCTCTTAATTGAAAATGATTATCTTTCTGAGACCTATATGAACCATCTTTACTTATTTCCGCTCCCTGAAAGGTAGGTAAGGTCGTAGTAGAAATTTTCTAGTATAAGAAAGACCAAAGTGGTATTGTTTTATTGAATAATAAGGGATTAGGCAATAGAGGGGTATGAATTTAATGCTGGAATTGGTGATAAGAGGAATTGAAGATCTAACATCATGTACATTATAAGTTAACTTTTACTGTGAGATCTTTAACTTCATAGCTACAGTTCTTTCCTCTAGTTAACTACTTTTATATCATATTGATTTCCACATAATTGCCAATAAAAAAATTCTTATAAACCATGGGTTTTAATTTTCTCTCCACAGTGGATGGGAAGATAAGGGTAAATTTTGAGTTTGAGGGAAAAGACCCAGTGGCTGAAAATGACTCTTGTAGTAGTGGAGACAAGACAACTTCACTGGGATCTTCAGAAAAAAATGGAATGATGGGAAATGTCTGTGAGAAGTACCTGTGATATCTTTTCATATCTCCAGATTGACTCTTCTAGATGCTAAATTTTCAGTAAATCAGCTATAAATTGTTTTCCCATTATGAAATCATGATAATGTGTAATTGAAAGCCATTCAAATGAATTAAGCCATAAGAGGTAAAGCTTTTGAAAATACTTTGTCAACATGCTAAAACATAATCCCAAGGTTGTCATTCAAAAAGGAGAAAACTCCATTAGCACATTTTCTGTCTTTATTGAATTACAAAAAGTATATCTTTATAATGCTGAATTAAGTTTTGCTTTGCCTTGTGGTTGCCAAATTATGGTGATATTTCCAATTTCTGAATTTTTAAGCCTTCAATTTTAAGATCATTACTCTTAAGTAAATGTGAATTGAGAAATTCATAAAACAATTTAGAATTATGGGAGCATAGTATATGTTTGCTTTTAAATTGAGTTTTATCTTGTATTTTATACCTTTCTAACTTGTGTGTGATTGTAATCACCAGCTCTTGGGTCACTAAGGTACCTACTAAGTGTGAAATCGCATTATTTTATTTACTATTAATGTGAGAGAAATTATCTTTAAAAAAAGTTTTTGCTGCATTGTTCCTTTTACTTTTAGGATTAAAATATTTTTAAATACAGGAAAAATTTTGTGTCATTAGAATGTCACATGAGGGGTTGAGGTTTACTTCATTACTGTTAGTGGAAATAAATCAAAAAGCAAGAATAAAATATGTGAGTTTTCTTTATTCATTGATCAGAATAACTTTTAAGTTTTCTGCCTTAGGACTTTCCCCAACCCTCTTATTAATATCCTAAATTTTCTTTTTACTAAGTTAATTTAGAACTTAAATTCACCTGGAATTTATTTTAGTATATGAAATGAGGTAGGAAATTAGTTTTTAAAGATGTATTTGTCCCAACAGAAAGGCTGTTGTTATGAAATGAAGAATCTCTTTATCTGGACCTGTTTCTGGACTTCTTTCTTTTTCATTGATCTATTTATCTCTGCCTATGTTAATGTCATACTAATTTAATTATTTGTTAACTTTATATTATTTTCATATATATAGTAGCAAAATTCCCCTGATTTTCTTTTTTTTATATATTTATTTTTTAGTTGTAGTTGGACACAATACCTTTATTTCACTTATTTATTTTTATGTGGTGCTGAGGATCGAACTCAGGGTCTCGTATGTGCGAGGCGAGCGCTCTACTACTGAGTCACAACCACAGCCCTTCTTTTTTATTTATATATTTTTTCTATCTTCCAGACAAATTTTAGATTAGTTTGTCAAATTGCATGAAAAATTGTGTTGAGATTTGGATTGAGAATTCACTTTTTTTTTTTTTTTTTAGGAATAAATGACCTTCAATATTATTTGCATTGGCTAGATACTTTAAATATGTGATATGACTTATTCCTTAAAAATCATATAAGGTGGAGTAGAGTTGTAGCTCAGTGGTAGAGCATTTGCCTAACATGTGTGAGGCACTGAGTTCGATTCTCAGCACCACATATAAATAAATAAAATAAAGGTCCATTGACAACTAGAAAAAAAAACATATAAGGCGATGTGTTAGCTTTCTATCACTGCAATAAAATACCTGAGAGAACCAACATATATAACCAACATAAATGAGGCAGTGTTTATTTTGGCCCACAGTTTCAGAGGATTCCTCCTTTATGTTGATTGTTTGGCCCTATTGCTTTAGGCATGTGTACAGAGTCCTTGGTGGAGCTCTGTTCACTTCAGGGTATCTATAAAGCAAAGAGAGAGGGGGAGGGGCCAGGGTCCCAACATCCCCTTCAAGGACACTACCCACTGACCTAACTTCATTCCACTGAGTCCCACCTCCTTATGATTCCACTACCTCCTAATAGCTCCAGATGCTGGCAACTAAGTCTGGCATATAGGCCTTTGGGGGACAACTAAGATCAAAACCATAATAGGTAAGGTTTGTTGGTCCCATTTTGAGGATGAAACCAAAGCTCAGAGAGGCTAAGTAACTTAGTATCACATGGCTTCTAAGTGGCAGAATTAAGATTTGAACTCAAGTCAAACTGATTTAAAAGATCATACATACTAGGTTGGGGATATAGCTCATTGGTAGAGTTCTTGCCTAGCATGCATAAGGCTCTGGGTTCAATTGCCAGCACCATTAAAAAAAAAAAAATCATACATACCCTTTTCTGTGCTTCAGAATACCTCTAAAAGTGGGAGAAATTGTGTAAATAAGTAATGCATTCTGTAGATAAGTGCACCCTAGCAATGATGGTCTTAATTCAGCTAATGTTTTTAAAATCTTTCATTTGCCTTGCCCTTAAAATTTTGCTGTCTCTTTTAACTCCAACATCAATTCTGTAGAATTTATTATTTCTATTCTATTTCTAATATTTCAGATGACTAAACCAAATTATAGGAAAATTAAATAGTTAGACAAGTATTTTACCACTGAGCTACATATAGCCCAGCCCTATGCCTATTTTTAGTCTATACTTCAATCTGTTTTTCCACCTCAGTATCCCAAGAAACCCCTAATCCTACTTCCATTTTTCTGTCCTTTATCTTGGTCTCAAATCTAGACTTCTTTTTTGGTAGTACTGGGGATTGAACACTCTAGCCAAGTGCTAAGCTACATCTCCAGCTCTTTTTTTAAATTTTATTTTGCAATTTGAAATTGCCCAAGCTGGCTTTGAATTTGTAATCTTCCTGCCTCTTCCTTGAAGTAGCTGGGGTCATAGCCTTGTTCCACCATATCTGGCTTGATGTCCTTTTTCCATATCTCACTATTATATTTTTATCTTCAACTAAGGGCAATTGATTATGATTTGGAATGGTTAATAGTAACTTTAAGCCAGGTTATCACTTTTATTGAGATGAATATTTAAGTAGGTACTGCCAGTGTTTACCTTGCTTACTTTTTCTTTTTATTTGGGATCATCCATATTCCTTTTAAATTAATGGATTCTTTTATTAATATGAATTATTTCTGTTATGCTGTACTTCCTTGCCTTATTCTATTACTTTGTTCCTAAAGGTGACTTTAGGTATCTGTCTTAGACTACTTTATGTGTTAATTTTTATTACTTAACTCAACAAGTACAGCATTATTTTGGGAGTGGGAGGGAAGAGGCGGATGTGATATTCATTGATAACTTAATACACTGGGTATAGTAACTTAGGGATATGTCATATCCATAGAAAGTTCTAACATTCAAGTGTATTAGACAGTGATTTCAGAAGTGGAATTTCAAAGGACATGTGGATTACCCTTTTATCCTTTTTCACAATAGAGAGCCATGCCAGGCATATTTCAAACAAATATTCTTTCTTATGGTTGAATAAAATTGAAACTGTTTTTTATTATATATGTTCAGTTTTTTAAAATAAAATTTGTTGGGGGAAGTTGAGTATTTCATAAATTTTTTTTTACTTTATTTATTTTTATGTGGTACTAAGAAACAAACCAGGTGCTTCACATGTGCTAGGCAAGTGCTATTCCACTGAGCCACAACCCCAGCCCAATAGTTCATAGATGTCACTAGAACTATAAAAATTCCTTCAATCTAAAAAGTATACGTTGTACATTAATAATACTTGAACAACCATATTAGTGTTACTCTTAGCACATACACATTTCTTGCTTTTATTTATTTTTGGTCACACTTTTGATTCTTTATATTTGAACTTCTTTTCCTGTGTGGAGAAATTCCTTTGTTGATCAGTATTTTAAAGTTATGCCATATAAAGCAGTGTGATATTTTTAGCTAGAATCCACATGATACTTATTTTGTAAAGATGTTTTGCTTTTTGTCGCTAGTCCATTCATTGTTTCACTTTTATTATAATTTCAAATCCTCTTATTCTTAGACAAGCTTAAAAACATTTTTAAAATATTTTTTTAGTGGTAGGTGGCTGTATTTTATTTGTTTATTTTTATGTGGTGCCGGAATTGATCCAGTGCCTCATATATGCTAGGCAAGCGCTCTACCACTGAGCCATAGTCACCCCTTAAAAAGATTTTTGTGGAACATAAATGTTACTATGGTGATACAATTTATAAAAATACAGTTTTGTTTTTATCCCTACTTAAGATGTTTATTAAGATGCTATTTGATATTCCTGACAAGTGTTGTAAAAATGAAATGCATATGTAATCCCAGTGGCTCAGGAGGCTGAGACAGGAGAATTGTGAGTTCAGAGCCAGCAAAAGCAAGGCTCTAAACAACTCAGTGAGACCCTGTCTATAAATAAAATACAAAATAAGGCTTGGGATGTGGCTCAGTGGTTGAGTGCCCCTGAGTTCAATCGCTGGTACCCCCTCTACCAAAATGAAATATATACAATGTTTTCCATGGATTCAATACTTTCAAACATTTTACTCTCTCAGAATCCCGCAGTAAGTGTACAAAAGTACTGATATGTATTCCACAGATGAGTATTAAAGATCAAATTTAAAATTTAGAATTTGCCTATCACATGGTAGGGTTTTAGTAAATCTTTATTGATGAGTGCAATAAGTTGATTGATGATTGAAAGGAACCTTTAGGAATTGCAATTAACAAGAAC